GAATAACCAAAATTGGAACCTCTTCGTAGCTATGCGTAATCTCGCAAACACCATAGAACTCGCCATTTCCTTGCTCATCGGTGAGTTCAGTGAATGGATTTCGCAGTTGTGCTTTTAGTTGATTCGTTAACTGAGTGTTCAACTGACGTTCTTTCACTGTTAGCGCTTTCAACTGAACCAACAAATCAGGCTGTAGAAGTTCCAACAACCAAATGAATCACTTAGATGGCGCTCATCGATGAGCACCTAAAGGCTTGAAAAGTTCACAGCTTCATAAAATGTTTCAAGGATTTTTATCCAGTGTTAAAAATTCTGAAACTTCTGATCAACAATCTCCACTCAATGACATCTTTTACGATCCGATAGCCGACATGTTAAATGTTGAAATACTTGAATTGTTCTGTAGTGATGTGAAGGAGAAATATTTCACAATTCAGAAAATATTTGCAGAATGGAGGGAGAATGCAGTGGCACGGCCAGGATTTTTCCTCAAAGGGGGAGGGAGGCAAAATAGTCTGATACCAAAAAACAGCTGAATTTTGGAGTGGCTCCTTTCCCTCTAATCTTCCTCGTTCTTTTTCCTAACTTTTTCCCTTCCACCACTTTCCCGTTCTCTATTCCTTGTTTCTTGCCCATTTCTCCCACCTTNATCGTTGAGGGAGAGCAAAATTTGTGCAAGCTAACTCTCGTATCAATATCTCTGATCCGTTTTTTATCATCTGCTATTGTGCGCTGAATAGAACGTCGACTTTTAGCGACATCTTTCAACTCAGCCAAACTTTTGCTAATAGTTTGTGAGCGTTCTTGCATGGACGCAGCAGCAGCAATTTTACTTCGAGAGCTGCATACATCAGCCGGGCATTCCTTGTCACTTTTTGATGCATCACTCCTGCAAGAAGATGCACTAAATTTTCACATTCCTAGCAGTTGCACAGTGAAGACTCAACGAAATATAACAGCAATTTGAATAATTCGTCCCACTCTGCACTGCGGAAAAGTGGAATATTCCGGATTGTAATAGAAAAATATGAAATTTTCTAGGTATATCCGAGCGAAACGCCGTTTCGCTCAGAATCTGTTGGGAGCAAGTCAATTCCACCATTCTAAAATTCATCTGCAGCGAAGAAATTTCGGATTCTTCCGTCAAAATCTGACGGAATCCAGTTTGTGAGATCTGTTTCTTGATATATAATGAAACATCAGATGATATTGTGACTGAAAATCGATCCGTAGATTCCAATCGGACTTCGGTTAGCTACCATCACTGGCGTTTATTATAGATAGAATTATATGCGAGTAACGCAAAGAATGTATTTACTGATTAAATTTTTAAAAAAACGAATACTGCAAAGAATAGTTTTACTGAAGTTGTGAATTTTCGATTTGTTTTGCCAACTGATTATACTCTTCTATCCAACGATTATGTTGACCTTCCAGTCGTTTCACCCAAAGCGCTTCAACTTCATCCAGACGGTCTTCCAACTGAAAAAGAGAGAATGTCAAACAAGACTGTTTTGCAGGGATTTGATGTGAACCTCAAAGCTGAAACTGCTTTAGATCGCTTTCTGTGCTTCTCGAAAAGGCGATCTGGGAGCAATGTAACATAAGTGTAGAACAAACATGCCGAACAATATGAGATGTGCTAAATGGAAAAGTTATTTTGTGAAAAATCTCCGGAAAATTTTCGAATATTTTTGGAGAAAACCGTTTGAATAGCATCCTGATTGCGTTTATGTGTATGTTCGATCTTTTTTTGTAGAATACTTAAATTTGCTGACACATCGTCGTGCACCTGTAAATTCAGCAAATGATCACAGTGCTCTGGTCAGACGTCGGCAAATTTTGAACTAATAGTTTAATATGTGGAGAAATTTTTTTTTGAAATTTGTTGATCCCTTTAAGGGTTGAGGAGAGGACTGCTTTGAGATTGTGCATGTGATTTAAGTGTAGACCAGCAAAAAAGTTCTTCGTTTAACTGGAATTTCAAGTCGACTGAAATTATTGTGTAATTTGAATGATTGAGAAGAACAACGACATCAGTTGTGTTCGCTCATTAGGTTGAAAAGTGGGAGGTTCTCATGAAAAGTTTTCCGCACGAATATTTTTTGAACATTTACAGAATCGTTGATGTGAAAGTATTGGCATTAATTTTTTCGGTTCAGCGAACTGTTTTCCTTTCAAAAGTACAATTTAAAAATGATGATTTTATCGCTGACTTTGAGCTGTTTACAAAGGTTGTCAATAATCGCACGGGCGTTTTCAATGTGTGCACTTGAAGCACCATCATTTTCAATTTCAGCATCCTGAAACATGCGTTTGTTGGATAGAACATCCCGAAATATGCATGGTTTTGGCACTTTTCNGGGTTTATTCCTCCGGAAACAAATTTCCCGAATAATCGAAGCAGAGTAATCAGTAGAGAAAAGTGGAGCGTATAATCGAATTAACCGAATGATTAGATGTCATTATTCGTTGCAATCTTGCTCCAATCCGAACTGATCGAGCTGAATATACGACGGAGTGACGACCGCTCAGAAAAATAAAATGTTGAAAACATATGAAGTTGGGAAGAACGACTGCTGCAAAAGCTTACTGTTACTAATTTGACTGCATTGAATGTTTTGGTTTGTTAACTTTTGCGTAAAATTTAAAATATCGTTCAGCTACACAAATTATTCTATGCAAATTTCAAACCATTCATATATTATTGCAGTTGTGAAACGTGGCCATCATAAAGTATAATTCTGATCCTCATAATCATCATATTTCTATTCGTGTTCAAGTGCAATTGGTGAATACTTTGTAAACTTGAGTAATAATAACTTCCACTACATCTTATTTGACATTTCTGTTTGATGCATAAGAGTCTATTTCGCGAACATTCCCTGTTTTGTTTCAAGATTTCAAATGACACGAGTTTTCAGATTTCAATTTCAAAGAAAAAACATCGCATGTTGTAATTTGATTTCATTTCAAATGAATGAATGATTTACTGCCGAACAAGCAAAAATATTTCCAAGTAATAATACAGTATGAAAGGCAAAGCGCTCTAATATCATACTGGATGAATTCGAATGAAAAAAGGCAATACGAACTTCGTCATCAACTTTTTTATCCTTTAAAACATGACATGATACGATGTGGTTTAAAGGATATAGATGACAAAAAANAAAAAAGTAAACTGCACAAAGCACATTGCATGCGGATAATTGATTCGTTTCGTAATATGTAAGATAGTTTCGTAACAGGTGATTTCAATCATGATAATATGCCCCAACTACTTTTTCGGACAATCCATTCCATGCGCTTATGATGACTGTTGTTGTGGTCATAAATTGATTCAGATCGATATTATTCATCATAGTGAGCAATATTTGATGATTTGTTTGTCTAAGTGGAGTGAGTGCATGATCAATTGAGCAAGCAGTATGACTAAAGGGTGTGAATGAATAGATTTAACATGCAAACACACAGTTTTTGGTGTAACATCATATTGCAATATCATCTTAAGAAAGAAAGAGCATCCATCTTAAGACCGTCATCATCGCTGGAAATGTCATCAGTTATCATCTTACCGGAAGCGAGAATCAATTTCGATGAGGATTATTCTTATCAGGTATCATCAATCAGATTCAGCTCCTTCTAGAGCCACTGGACTTTGATATTCACTTTGGCTTTTGATATTCACTCTAATTTCAGTGAAATGGTATGTCAGGGTTTCGAATTCGAGGAATTAGTGAGAATGTTAGATTTGTATTTGATGAATCAGCTCATTTTGCTATTTTCATCGTTCGATGTTTTTTGTAGTCACCGGAAAATTTATTTTAATTAGTGTTTAATTGTATTCCAAGAAGGGTCAAATGATCGGTAATTGAGAAAAATATCTTTCGAGAGTGTTTAATGAGCAGAGAAAAAAGTTCTTCGAGTTCCTTACTTGGAAACGTGCATCANTGAACGTCGAAAATAGAATTGAAAGTATCATTCCTTAGCAGTTTTCATTCATTCATCCGAGCTTTAATGTAACCGGAAAAGTATTTAGTTCACTGAAGTGGATATGAGTTCATTGATGTTTATTCACTGAGAAGGTTTACTTACTGAGAAGAGAAATTGCATCAAGAGAAGATTGATTGTTCTTCAGTTTATGATTGAGAAAAGGTATCGATGAAGTTGCATGAGTAGCACTTAGAATATGAGTCTTGCGAGGGAATACATGGTATATATTTCAGTGATAAATGATTTCATGGAGCGTACATCAAATTGCTTTCAGATGATTTTGATGAATGTCGGTAAAACAGCAGCACTGTTCAAATTCCAAACAAATAATGTGAAATGGTTTTGTTGCAAGCCCGTAATGGGTCGTATTCTATCAAATCGACAAGTTTCTGTGCATGTGAGTGTGTTGAGTCATCTTAATGAATTGCCAACAAGATGGATGGTCTGTCTTGACGAGAAATGAACATTTCTTGTCATAACATATTCTCACCTCGCAAAAGCAGAGGCGTTTCCGAGTGTAAAACACATCAATGAATTATACTGAAGCATTCCTAGTGTTTGCACTACGTGATCATTTTGTTTCAATTCAGCGCTGAGAAAATGCTAGCGAAATAATCTCACAGAGTACACAGAATGCTTCAGTATTCATACAAAATTCATGACATCTATGGGAAGTTCGATGCTTTCATGGCTTAAATTGAAACTGTTTGGGGGCTAAATTCATTCCATGAATTAGGAGCTAGCATTTATTCTCATCGGAAACACAAGACCTCGGATGATCAGCTCAGAAACAGATTCCATTTTGAGATTCTTTTTAAATGGTGGAAAATGGAGGAGTGGAGGGCAACTGCTGAGGAATGTACGAACGGCAGCAGTGACAGCAGTTTCGATGTCAAATTCAGACTGCTCACATGTCAAGACACGAGAGTGTTGACGAATCGAAACGAAATTGGCCAATATTGGCTTCTGAGGGAACGTTTCGGTTTTCCAACGGAAACCACTAGCGATGAAACGATACGGTATTTGGACGTGAACATTAATTGGAGATACTGGCAAGAATACAATCACATACATGGTGATAGACACCGCCAACTTCACCATCGTTCATATCCGAGTTGTGCTTCGTATCGAGAGTATGAAGGCGAAAAGCAGATCAATGCAATGCAAACACCATGTTGTTCAGCAACATCACAGAGTAGGTAATTAATGTTTTATGCTTTGATGCTTTGATTAGCTTTCGTGGGAAATATTCGAGACAAATATGCATTCTCATATAGGTCAGCATCTTTATGAGCTGAACAACACTTGTCAAAGTGCTTAAGAAAGAGTGTGAAAATGGTTCCATTGAAGTATATGTTCTCTGAATTCCTCTCGCTAAACGCTGATTGATGATCAACAAAGCGATCAATTGTTCACTCAAAAATGGGTGTTACAATATAATTGCCTGCTTATGAGAAATGCCTTGGGTTTGCAAAATCCGGACGATTTTCCAATCCCGGGATCGGGATTTAATCCCAGGATCGACTTTGATCCCGGGATAAGCCCGGGATCGAACAATTATTGAAATATCGATGCGGGACATGTTTAAACACATTTTTAGAACCAATATGTTCATTATTAATCAGAAAGGAGCTAATTCAACAAATTGTTGAATAAATCCAAGGACCCAAGTATTCAAATTCAAATCAATATTTCATATAATGATGCTAATGATCATGCCGCAAAGGCATACTGCATATTCTATGCTACGACATCTTGTCATCTCGGGTGTAAGCTAATAACAGTNCACTCGCATGTGAATATGAAATTCTTGATTCTCAAACACTTATTTGCAAATTTTCAAGTCCATTAACGTCAGCTGAATTCTGCCGTTTCGAAATTTTCGAATTTTTCACGAAAGAAATGCACTGCATGAATTATATCATTTGAATTTTGAAATAATTAAAAGTTTGAAGTTTATCTGAAAAGGTTAAAAAAAATCCGCAATGGATTTTCATCGAACCCTCGAGCACTTACATATTTGATAATTTCGATCAAAAATCATGCAAATGTACTTGATATTCAAGCTTAAGATCTTTTTGAATGGAACAACTTTGCTCACTTCGGCAATGAATTCTCACTATGAATGAACTCAGTGAGAATTTATGTACTTCCAAATAGCAAAGTAAAAAGACTTGCAGTCTTTGGAACATGCAGTTGAATTAACAGATGGAATCCCGGGATCCCGGGATCCCGTGCAAACCCTAGAAACGCCCCTGGAAACGCACCTTTATCTAAAGAAGTAAACACTGTTTGCCATCATCGTGCACAGCTATATCTCATTGGTGAGTAATGCAGTTTTCATATCCGATCACGCAATCAACAAAACAAATCCATGCGTATGAATCGCCTGGAAAGCTATGGCCCGAATCGTAGTATTTGAGAACTCATGCGCAACATTGTTACGACGTGTATTTCCTGATTGCATCTGCTCGTATTCAGCTACTCAACTGTTTCTTAATTCCTTACTCATATTTTCCTCAAAATCATCTTTTGCAAATTTATGCCCACCTGAATTTCAGCCCAAAATGCGAAATGTTCTCTTGATCAATGCATCAGTGAGATCGACGTACAGCTGGAAACGCTAAGATGAACAAGAAAAACGACAAGTGATTTGGTGATGCCATTCCGTAGTACGAGGATGGTTTATCGAGACTTTTAAACATGCAAATTCTCGATATCGTGATGTTTGGAAACTGTTTTTGTGGAGTATACTGTGGTTTCAATATTTTAGTCTCATTCATCCAGTTCATTCAATGAACCAGCTTTTTTTAATGCACTTATCGTAAAGTTTATCCAATTCAGACTATTCAATGCATTTCATAGAATTGGCTTTATTTATAACGACGTTCCCAATGTTCTTCTTAATGGTAAACATTTCTTTGAAAAAAACATCACTTGTTCTTAAATTTATCGACAATTCTCATGAAATTCAGTATTTCGGTGAGAAGTTTGGTTCAGAATGTAAATCCGGTTCCGCAGAAAAACTGATGCTTGTGAATTCATGAGTTTGCTTCAGACCGAGATTTGCATTTGATTATAGATGAGAATTTCGATGGGGAAAAATAAGTTGTTACTGTAGCTCATTATTGTTGACAACATGTCATTTAAGCATGGAAATTGTCATGTGAATTCTGAATGCTGATGCGTAACTCATAGTCAGTCATTATGTGTTTAATAGTCAAATTAGTATCGCTTAAATGAGTGCTGATTAACGGTTAATTTCATACAAGAATCGCTTCGTTTCTGGACATTCACCTCGATTACAATTATATGTTGCAATAAGCAATTATGCCCAACGGCCAAGTTCAGTGAATATCGTCATAAGCAAAGTTCAAAGGACAAAACACGTTGATACTCATAAATGAGCACTTCTCAACCTTTTTGCTCCGTGCACCCTCTAGAAAGTCTTAAGAGGCCTTCGCACCCCAAACCTTATCTCGTACCCCTTCTTAGCTCACCCTCTCTCGAACCCCTGGTATGCCTTCATGTACCCCCAAAAGGTTGAGAAGCCCTACTATCATAAATGAACATGGTGACCGAACATGAATTATGGATTGCGATTTTACGGTGGCGTTAAGTTGACAATGAGCGGCGATGGAATTTATTATGAAGACCTACTTGTTTCCTATTCAAGTAAATGATCGTGAGATACTAGTTATGGGAACTGCACTTGCGGAATCACGCAATCGTTTGCGTGTAAATAAATACAAATTATTACTGTGGTTGCTGAATGATTCATTTGTTCATGCACGATTTCGATTGCGTATTATTTCCAAATTGAAAGAGTGGTTGTTTCATGGTGAATACGAAAAATTCAATTATGAAATATGTGTCAACTGTGCTCTAATTTCATCACAGTATAAGCAATACTATCCATTAACGGTATAATATTAAGAGAGTCAATGTTACAAGTGATGTTGCATGTTCATAGCAGCACGAGAGGAAAGCACATGAAGATTCTTTTTTTGTAATTTTATGTCATAACTTGGAGTATATTCGACGAACACACGTGTGAGCAACTAGTATATTCAAATGGTAATCGAAANTCTGGTATTCGAATGGTAATCGGGAATGATAAGTGAAATGTGAGCGTTTATTGCGTTTGAATTGACTGCATGAATCGACTACATCCAATGTGATCGGATATGCGGAAGTAGATCGTCAATTGCTAATCGTAGAACATACTACTACTACTTGAAGTAGTAGTGGCAAAATGGTAATTACTTCTTCGAAATATTCGAGCATGAAATGCAAAATCGATAGCAACGCATACAAACTTGTATTTTTGGCCAACTAATCTCATTGTTGAAGCCGACTTAATTTGATGGTTGGATTTATTGCATAGCGATACGGATCATTCGTTTATTCATAGAAGTTGACTGCATCGGATAGCAATGAGAAATCCTTTAATTTGATTCATTAACTCCGTTAGAATTGAGATTATGAACGACCTTGTTCGTGTTGTTTTCAGTTCTCTGATTGTTAGGTCGTTAGCATCATATTCAGCCAGTGTTTCGAAACTACCGTCAACGAATGAACCCAACAATAAGTTTAGGCCGATTGCACGAAGACTCGAAGCTAGACTCCTATATATCAAACGACCGTGAAACCATGACCGTTTATGGGAGCCTAGCGATTGAAGTTGGGACCAGTGGGTGATGTTTTGTATTTATTAGTGAGTTCATTCGATAATTAATCTTGTATTCTGCTGGATTACTGTGTGATGTACTATATTTATCATCGATAATTTAATCTTCTGCCGAACCCAGTTATATCTCTAAATTTTTGATATAGTGTAGATATAGGTTCGTCTTCTTCAATTTGTGACGGAAAAAATTGATGCTCAATTTGTATTCGCAGCTTATTTTCGCAGAAATTTTCAGTCGAATGAAAGAAACGCCTAATGTCATTAATAGTTCTGTGCAAGTGCTGGATTTGTTTGCGTTTGGTTTGTTCCAATTAACTTCTGTGACGCTAATTCTGGAACTGATAATTAACCCAACTGAAGCTACGAACTTTTTCATAATATTTACGTCCAAATTCGTCAGCTAATAGAAAAGAGTCGGTATTATAAAGGGAAGATTCGAACATGCTTGAGCACTGCCAATTGAAATTAGACTTAGAATCCCGCTGTCCAGTCAAGATCAGGCCTATGCTTAGAATTAGGCTTAGGTGTAGGCTTCCACCTAAGACCCAAACTCATGCTCATTTCAACGCTTGAATTTGATCTCAGACCTAAGCTTCGGCGACAACTCAACCTTGCGACACATGTTCAGGGCAGTAACCAGAGCTTATGATTAGGTATTTATTGATGTTTACTGCAACTTTCTATATTATTTTTCAAGCCTACAAGCTTCTCTCAGATATCCCATTAAGATCTAATCAGGAATAGGAAAATCTTATGATTCTAAAGGCACTATCTGTTCGCGACTAACAGATAATTTGGAACCGAACTTACGACCGTTAAACATTCGAGAGAGTGTTCCATAAACTATTTGAGATCTCTGAGTCATCGCTTAGAATATTCGCTCCATATTGGAAATAAAAAGGCGTGAAAATTTTAAAAAATTGGCAATGTTAACGATTAGTTTTGATTTTCATGCATCGATTGGTGTATATGTGAAGTGAAATGCATTGCAGTAACAAACATTCAACTTCATCCATATTAAATGCTCCAGTAAGATTGGAAATGTATTAAAGGCGTAAGATGTTCAAGAGAGTCCATGCAGATTCTCATAAATTCATTCTGAAAACATTTTAGTAGCACACTTGAGGGAGAAGTGCATCATTCAAAATATTGGTTCGTGATCAATTCATTCATAAGTAAGACAATCATCCAGCTACATCTATTAGTTCAGTTTAGCATTGACGTGACATGTTGGGGCAAGACAGCAATAAAGATTATAAAAAAATAAGCAATAATCTGAATTATGACTAGTCAGATAGGAAATTGAATAAGTTGTTGGATTGTAATTCACAGTTCGGAGAGTCCGGTTTCCGACTGTGGCCGGTTGGAGCAAGTTTCATAATATGCTGACTGAAGTTGTCGAGTTGAATGATGGATCAGTTTATTTGGATTCTGCACATCGAATTGCTCACTATCACCTGTTAAGATCTGCCGTTATTCTCGATTGATCTTTGAAGTTGATGTGATAGATGAA